AWWAWGAGTTCCAGATGAAAAAYATATAAAAGCAAGCAATAACTGTTTAATTTGYAACAAAAAGACYCCTGCTAAATCTCTCCGTCAAATCTCGTGTGAAATAAATTGCTGGCCGTCTGTCTGTAGACTCAATCAAGGCCACTATCATTTACATTCAAATTAAAATTAAATCGGAACATATGGTAACATGTATTTCCATCAGAAAAAGAGCATCTATTTACAACWGTATTTTTTTTGTTTAGTTAAACTTTCCTTGAAAAAAATTGAGTTGGATTATATAAACTTCTGTATTCGAAGAAAGTGATAATTTTGTGTAGTGAAATTTGTCAGTTAAAATCTGGACCAAAGCAGACTTAAGAAAATTAGTGGCCAAGCTCTCACCGGTTTATCTTAATGTTATTCTGATTTGTATAACGTTATATGATACTAAGAGAAATAAAAAACTCCCCATAACTAAAGATAAAATACGACTTKCAACTAAGGGTGGCCCAGGATTACGCGTTTTAAAAATCCTCCGAGTCCAAGATAATTCAACCTGAGGCCGCTACCGTCTGTCCTTGATACAAATGACTCTATAGATCCAAAATAATGGCCATTGTATTACCCTATCTCCTTAATCAATGTCCTTACTTTTTGAAGCGTGCAAAACGTTTTTTGGACTATCTGCATGAGATCAAAAGTACCATTTATACTCCTTTGAAGATCTTGTTTTGCGGTTGTCAGAGAGCATTCTAGTTCTATTTGTAAGACGCTGTGAGCAAAATTGAAAAGCCGCTGGCGTGTCGACCAGTTTGTCAATGAGAAATAGAATCGCGCCTGGAGWCCGAATGCTCGAATAAAATTCTAGTTAAAACGCGGTTACGTAATTAGGAACTTTCAAGGATTGAGGGATGAGGTTGTTTAGCTGTTTTCCAATATTGAGCAGATACATGGGTTACATTCGTAAGTCCATTTCGTTCGACTGCATGATTCAAGTCAGCTATAAAGACAATTACGATTTTTAACTTTCAAACTAGTTCGAAAACTATGGAAAATAATGTAGTAATAATAACGAGATTTTTGGACTTACCATAGCAAGTTCTTAGCAAAGTTGAATAAGTACGTTTGCAACGTTTCTCGTATCGAAACAAATCCCAGATGTACTTTGAGAACTCAGCTGTTTCAGATAGGTTGTCACGTAAGACACTGTCAAAAGTTGATTTTTGTATGAAGATTTTAAAACCTAAAGGATCCTTTGACACCGAATACTGACCAATGGAAACAATTATAATACATATACTGTACTAAMTGTATTTTGAAAGTCATGCGAAGAAAAAAATACAGAATCTACGCAAATAAAATCACAAGCTATCCTGGTAAGGTCTGGTAAAGTCTATTACAAACTTTACATTGCTAAGTAAAGTGCGAAAGACCGTTATTGTATATTCATTTTGATTGTCAACAAAAACGTTTTTAGTTATTTGAGCTCTTTACAGTGTTATAGAGCAAGAAATATAATTTGTGAGCTCAATTCTTTATGTTGACCTTGGCACGAGTAAAATGTGCTCCAACGTTCAATTAATGTGGCCAATTTTTCCAACTTTCCTTTTTGAGTAACGATGAATTTTCATTCAACATATGTAAAAAATACTTAATTATTTCTTATTTCATAGAGTCCAGTCAAACTTCAACAGCATGCAATTCTCCGCAAAACCTGCCTTGCTTTTTTTTTTGAATCACAGATCATTCTTACGTTTGCTTGTTTATCSATCTCTTTTTGTAATTTTTGTTGAGTTAATGCAACTAGTACAGGCCGACTTGAAGTATTCTTGGTGTGCAAGTTACGTCATCACCGCCATGTTGGATGAAAATCACAAAGCATTCCTCATTAGTTTCTCTTGTTCATTCATCCAACATGGCGGCGATAGCTTCGTTCTTTATTTCTCAGTGGATTCCTGGTCATGTGGTTGCACACCAAGAATACGATCTTTTGGAATCGAGAGCATGTGCCACTTCAATAAGCCTCCAGTTCGTGTAAGACCAAGATCTAGACAAATATACCGAGAGGGGAGGGGGTAGTCCAATGAAACCTAGAAATACCAAACGTACTTGTTATATTTTTTAAAGTAAGTTTGTCCATGACAGAATTTGTTTTAATTGACAAGCGAAAACTCAGATTATATTTGGTAGAAATTAATGGATTCAAATGGCGATATTGAATTTCAGGAAACTCTTTTCTGCAAGTCGGGCCGCTCAGAAAATATATTTCCAGAATCACGCATCCTCCCCTCAATTAAAAGTCAAATGATTCGCTCCTTATCAGGTATAAAGAAAGCCTTTATCAGATAAAGGAGTCCATGATGTCACTACAAAGGGCTTGCCTGTGGTTCGAATCTTTGTACTCCATAAAACGTACAAGCGTTTTTAATTTTTAAAACAGTTTGAAGAATTTTGCTTACATATATGATATCTACGTACTGCTTCATTAGACGAGTAAAGGGCTTCACGATGCTTCCTATCATACTGTATTATCATATACCAATGAATATTCTTCATACGGCATACTCAATCTCAACAAAGAATTCTTTACTATCATACTCAGCCTCAACCAACCAATAATTCTTCATATCATACATATCATTATAAAGCCCAACCAAGAATTCTTCATATCATACTCAGCTTTTAACAATAATTCTTCATATCACAATCAGCCTCAACCAACCAATAATTCTTCATATCATACTCAACCTAAACCAATAATTATTTATATCAAAATCACAGCCTTAGCTTCTTCATATCATACTCAAGCACGACCAATARTTSTTCATATCATACACAGGTTCAACCAATAATTCTCCATATCTTACCATTCAGTATTTATCACATCATCAGCTCGCTCTAAGTCAAGTTGACGCAGCTAACTTTCTACCATCTACGAATGCTTTTCATACTAGATTATTAGATGCATACTTTAGCTATATCTACTGTGATCTAAGTTCATCCTGTAGACTTTTGTCGATGTTATTATCTTTATAATAAACATAGCTTAAAGGRCGATATTAATGCTACAAATCAGATAGCTAAAAAGTTGTAGAACGACAACATTATTTTCAGAATCCTGTTAGCATTTAGTGCTACGATATTCTGATAAAAGCGACGATGGTCGTTAAGCAAAATAAATCAAGTGTTCGCTGTTGAAATAATTGTTAATATTTATCCATGTTGCACTTTGCTTTGGTTGTTTTTCCGTGAGAATGTTATGCCGTGTGTAAAGCTCARTGGTCTATCAACATTGTGGGTGATCATGAGGTGGGCAAGATTTCTATCATCTTAGCCTTAGGCTTTGCTTCTAGCTTGTGTTTGTAGTGAACACGGTATACGTGCACTGAAGTCAATGATATATGGATGAAYGTTGTAAATCTTTGAATCGCCTTAGATTTAGATATCATATGATCAATGATTTAATGAAAGGGTTGCAGGGAAAGATCAAAACTCAGTAGAATGTCAGRGAAGGCCTAATAATCAAACGAAACCAAATTGTAACATTGATTGTCGCATGTATACAAATTTAAATTTGCCATTGTGTGCGATATCACGCTACAATCTCAATATAATATAAGCTCAATGTTCCTTCTGTCCATCAAATTCTAATACAGTCCGACAAACTAGCTTAAGGCTGTTTACCGGGAAGTCAGTGTCAGAAAGATTATGTCTTTCGTTTTATTGAAACTTTTTTAAACGATTCCTATTCGACTAATATTTTTCCGCCGCTTTGCAGCATTAAGTTGAATGTCTTTTTTGCTTTAATGGAATATAATACAAACATTGGCTATCGTCTCCTGTCAGCCATTACGATATATCGAATTTCGTCTTCGACAACTTAATTTAACGCAAAAATGACAGTTATAATAATATTCCGTTAATTTTGAATGAGATTAAGAAACTTAGGCGTTCTCTTGCTGCTCTGCAAGTATAGTTGYAATCTATTCTAAAGACGACTMGATGAAAAGCCTTCATATTTGATGAAAMGT